TGAGAGCTGTTTAATCCATGTTTGGGCACTCAGCTTTTGATCTCAAATGCCCACCTCTTATTTGCATCCTGTTGTTTCAGGAAGGACTTCAGAATATGCCAAATAAACAGGTTTAGTAGTATCTCAGCAAATTACTGCAATTCTGATTTTTACACCTATTTAAAAGCCAAAACAACAAACAAAACAAACAAATCCTCACAAATAACAAACCAGTTGAGCCACCAAAAAAACCCCAACCACAAACACCCAAAAAACCATTCCAAGAAGCTCTCAGAATTAATTCTAAAAACCTTTTTAAGAAAGTAAAGAAACCATAAGAACAGGAAACACTGTTGATAATAATATCTTCATGTGTTTTAAAAGGATCCTTCAACTGTCTTTAACAAATGGAACTTTTCAAACCTTAGCCCTCCCTCAGTCTCCTAGCATGCAATTAAAGCCACTTTTTATTGTTATTAGATGAAACACTGGAGCAGTCAGGGATGGAGGGAAGGAAGAAAGCAGGAAAAATAAAAATCAGGGCAAGTGATCAGGAAGGACTTCTTTCATTTTTAAGTGATCTTTCTTTATTAACGTGAGTTAAAACTAAGGCATATCTTCCACACAGCTGCTCAGAAAACCTGAGCATGGTTAATGCACAAAGGGGCTGTCAGCTTTTACTGTTACAATCACACTGAAATAATTCTGTGTTTTGTGTGAAAGTGATTTAAAACTACTTGGGCATCCTCACACTTCCAGTTAGTACCAATGGTTTTGCCTCTGGTGTCCTTCAAATATTCATGGAAGCCTGCTTATTCTGCCAACTCCTCATTTGCCCTCCCTGCCTCACTGTGGTAGCCTATTACTACTGCTGCTGTGTTGTTAACGCTAAGCCTTCCATTTATACTGCCAGCAGCATAAGATATTCACTCAGAAATGTTGAGATACTTTTTCCCCCAGACTCCCATGAATAATCATAGGGCTGCAGCATAGTAGAGTTTTTCTCTGTTAGACTTGCCTGTCAGATGTCATGGAAAGAGATTAAAATTCATTGGACACAGACAAAGAAAAACTTTGGATCTACCCTAGAAAGACATCTCTTGCCTCCCGCCAGAGAGGAACTGCTTTTTATTGTTTTGTTCTCTTTTAGAGTAAAGATCCACTCATTCACA